AATTTATAATAATAATATGCTAGCCACAAGCACTGATGAGGAGTGTGCTTTTCCTCCCTGCTTTCAGTTCTGAGGTAAAGTGGATTTTCAGAGGAGGGAGGGTCTGCCCTCAGTGTGGACTTACTTGTTTGTTTTGTATGTATACATCCAGCTATATAATCAGTATCAAACTCAGTACTTTATGTGCTCCAGTTTGCTGAATGTATTGTTTGACTTCTGTGCTTACTGATTCAAGAGGCCTGTATTGAAAGATAAAATATTATACACTGTATTGTTACACTCCCAATAAAATCACTACTAACTGTATTAATGTTTTTTGTATTTATTGTAATATTAGTGTTTTTTCTGAGCAGATAAATGCTTACTGACCGTTGTCCACTTGCATGATGATATAATGCATTTTAAAAATTGTTCTAGGTCTCTATATACATTTTTGGACATATAATATGTTTAGATATCTTTTTTAAAGTACGTTTTAAAGGTTTCTATTTTTCCAGTAAAATATTTGGATATTTTTGAGAGGCTCTCCATTGTAAATCCTCACTGACTACTAAACTCCACTTCAGTCCTCTTGTAAATCCAATCAACGTTTAAAAATAGCTATTCCTAAAAGTTGCACAATCACATTTGATCTTCTGTTTGAGCACAAAGCAACTGGTAAATGTCAGGCCATACATGAGACTATCCAGAGACACCACACTCATACCCTCCAGGCTGAAGACCCTGTCACTTCCTGTCCACTGCCTGGCACTGGCACTGGTTGTCAGGCAGCAGACAGAATAAGAGCAGAGAATGACCTGCGCTCGACCTCTTAACCTAACCAGCAGAGACGCATATAACTCTTTAGCGCTGATGCTTACTGGAACAGACCATTGCAATGTTGACAAAACGTACAATCATCTTATATCTAAACTTAACATCATATGGCCAAAAGTATGTGGACATCCCTCCTAATGTTTGAGTTCAGGTGTTTCAGCCACACTCATTGCTAACAGATGTAAAAAAACAACTACAGAGCCATGCAAACTCCATAGCTCAGCCTAGAATTCACCTATGCTGTGCTGCATCAGTCACTAAAGAGTTCCAAACTGTCTTTGGAAGTGACATCAGTGCAGTTTCCATGGCCGAGCAGCTGCACACAAGCCTAAGATTATCATGATCTTAGCTTTGCAGTGCCGAGCGCTGGCTGAAGTAGTGTAAAGCACACTGTCACTGAACTCTGGAGCAGTGGAAATGTTCTCTGGAGCGATGAATCACTCTTCACTATCTGGCAATCTGATGGACGTATCTGAGTTTGGCAGAAGTCAGGAAAATGCTACCTACACAAATGCATAGTAGTGCCAACAGTAAAGTGTGGTGGAGGAGGGATAATGGTCTGGGCTGTTTGTTGGGGTTTGGGCTTTCTGTTCCAATGGAGGGTAATGTTAATGCTACAGCATACAAAGACATTTTACACCATTATAGGCTCCCAACTTCATTGTATCAGTTTGGAGAAGGCTCTTTCCTGTTCCACCATGACTGTTCCCCTCTGCACAAAAGACATGGTTTGAGGAGGTTGGTGTGGAGGAACTCCAGTGGCCCTGTTCTAAACCCTGCTGAACACCTATGGGATGAATGTGAACATCCAGCACAACCAAGGCCCTCTCGTCCAACATTAGCGTCTGACCTTACAAATGCTCACAAATATGAACAAACTCCGTATTACTGCCCATGGTTTTGGAATGGGATGTCCCAAAAGTTCATATAGGTGTGATGGTCAGGTGTCCACAAACTTTTGGCCATATAGGATAACATGATCATTTATAAATATGGTAATTTACCAATAATTTTTGTTTTCAACAAATTGGTTTGAAATGACAGTATTTGAAAGCATTTGGCTTTTTCTAAATAATCTCAATGATCAAAGACCACCATGTCATATTTCTTCATTAATACTGTGTGCTCTGTTGAAACATTCAAAACTGAAAAAGTTCTGTAGCTACCACTGTGGCCCATGTTATTAAACATATTGATATACAGCTCATTTTTGCAATTAATTGCAATCACAGATGACATTTCCTTAAGCATGAATCACAATAACGGCAGCAACTCGGGCTGTCAAACAGAGTAAGAGCAAAACAATTGGGTCACTTTAATTGGAAGAACTGTACAGTTTACTTTCTGTTTTGTCCTCATTGTTTTCTTCAATCTGTTTTTTAGTATTGAGCTTATATTCATCATGCATTTAACACTATATCTGGAATTTTTAAAAAATATAAAACATTAAACAGAATGTCCCTCCAAAAAACTCCAAACAGTTCAGAGGCTTAAACAAAACAGAGTAAGTTTTATTTAATAATCCAGAAACCCAGGTCCTAGATATGATAATGGTGACTTTCTTAGCAGATGAATAGGAAAAGAAAAGAATCTTAACATCTTGCTCTGCCTTGTAATTGAAGGTAACCATCTGAATTTACAGCTGTTAAAGGTCATATTTATATTATATTATAAATTATAACATATGTGATAGGGTCTTGTAAATGAATATCAGATTATAGATATATAGGTTCATCCTATAGCTGACGATGTTAAATCCACTTTAAAATACAGATTAAAATACAGATCAAATACAGATACACAGTGATGACTGTGAGATTTGTCTCAACCAAAACATGCACAGTGATACAGCAAAGAGCTTAAGGAGCAGGATTTATATCCTTTGATAAGTTCTTAAGACACAATCTACTCTATGATTATTAAAATGTACAATTAATTATATACACCACATTAAAACATATTGTTTCCTGCATTGTTTTTATAAATGTTTCTGTAAATGCTCCAGCTATAGTTGAAGAGAAGGCAATATATCATTGTCCCATATATACACAGTATAAATACATTCTACAGTTTTCTATTAGTAACAAACTCAGACACTAACACAATAAAAACAAGTTTTAATTAGAATTCCCAGCGAAAGCTTCACATAGTCCAAAAAATACAGGAAATCAGGGTCTCAAAAACTGACCCCTAATTGGCCTTTCATTAGCTTGCTCAGTATAAAAGCAAGAAACCCTCTCATGGTGAAGCCTGGAATAACAGTTATATTCCTTTGATATCTACAGCCTAAAGAAAGGAAAAGATGTTTTTTAACAGTTTTATCAGATGCTTGGTTATAAAACTACATCTCATCAGACTACTCACACGCTTCTGTATGAAATTTTTTCTTATTTGTGATACTGATGGTCCTTATTATAACTATAACAACTAAAAGATTTTAGACAATTTTCATGGCTGCACAGTTCAATATAAATATTCATGTATATGGGTCAATAATAAATAAAGATAGTTAAGGTGGTAAAAAAGGAATGATTTGAAAGTCATGCTGTAGCTCACATTAATAATCGTTTGCATTTGTATGTTTCTGAATTATTTTTATGCAATTTTCAACAAAATCTTAATTAGCCTTAGAAATGTTAAAAGGTGTAAGTGTGAAAAAACAATGCTGTATTTTTCATGCAGTGTAAATACATATGTACATGTTAATAGTGAAATCATTTAAAAAATATAACTGAATCAATTCCATTTTAATTTTTCTGCGAATTTTTTGTGAGTTGTATTGGTGGTAAACTTTCAGTTGTTAGTCTTTGTTTTTCATATTCTTGTTATACTAATTGACTGAAATCAGTTACCCCTCTAATTAGTGTTAAGCACTGTGTAAAATATCAAGTTTTACTTTACACTCTAAACATGTTCATTGATGAATGAGTCAATATTGCAGTTTGAATGTTATGCTTTGTTATGGTTTACTCTATTGCCTAGTTTGTCCAGATGCTTTGAAACACTAAGCTGAAGAGAACTGAAAATGCATGTTTTAGTGATATATTGGTACCACAATCTGTTAACATTAAATAAATTAACCACAGTTAACAGTAAACTTTTTAAAAATTTAATTTAATTTAAAAGCTTTCAAAATGTATTCAGCTTAGAAATGTTAAAGGTATGTCATTAAATGTTTTTTTTCAGTAAGATACTGGATGCAGAAAGAAAAAAAAGAGCCTTGTCACTGACCTACATGCAGTGTATATATAGTTATGTCTACCAAGTTAGATGTTAGATCTAACATGACAAATATAATTAGTTAAGGCAGGGGGTTATATTTTTACTCATAGAAGAAGACTCTAGATGTTCTTTAATTCGTGTTAAAACGTATTATATATCAAATAATCTGCAAATTACTTTGACATCTGGAGATCTGGTGAAGCAGCAGATCAAGTAACAAGTTGTTCAAAGAAAAGAATGACATGCAACCTGCTTACCTAAAACTAAACAATGAACGAAACGAAAGGAAAACGAACAAGGAATGAAGTATAGTCTTTTTATTTGGAAGTTTCATGCTGATTTGCAACAACAGTTTAATGCCAAAGCAAAAGTACAGATTCTGAACAGTTAATGTAACTCAAAACTCATTTTAAGTCTGCTTTATTATTGGTTGTCGGTTAAAAAATATCATTTTTTTCCTTAGAAAATGCAGGCTACATACACACATTATGATCTCGATCCCCAATGAAGAAAAAAGGGGGAATACATTCCAGCTATGTGAAAGTTTAATTCCCCTCACTAAAGCTAGACACAATAGTCTGAACGGCCAGGCACACTAAGAGCTGAACTTTGAGGGTTTGTACTGACCGCGAGAGGGCGCCGCAGGACCACTTCACATTTTCACTTACATTAGGACCCCCGTGTAGTTAGAATTACCTTAAACTACTTCAGCTGGCTTGTAATCTTTCTAGTTTTCAAAAAGGCCCTTCACATAAACGATATTTCATCTTTACAAACTGTAGGCCTATACTGCGTTACTACATAGGAAGATTTAACAAACGTTTGAACAATAAATGGTCTATTTTATTACTCTCGCTTCTGTACATTTAACTGTTCTGTAAGCGTACGTGTTGTTCTGAACATCTAAATCCTTGCTGTGTCACTGTGTTTCTGCCGCACAGTAAGAGAGAAAGAGAAAGAGAAAGAGAGAGTCCGTCCTCCTGAAGTCAGGCTGGAAGTTGCTGCCCGCTGCGATGATGCGCGCATAGCCGGTGTGACTGTTCAGCTGCTCACATGGAGCCGAGCTGAGCTGAGCTGAACGGACGCGTGTCGAGGACGCCTCGCTTTCTCTCCGTCTGTGAACGAGAAGAAACTATGAGAAAACTCATAACCGCCACTGGAGCGCAGGAGACCTCTCATAAACGGTGAGTGAGCGCTTTTAGGTACGAACTTCTTATTCTGGCAACCAGTTTCTGAAACACGTTGGTGGTGATGATGGCCGAAGGAGGAGAGCAGGGGGGACATCAGCTAGCTAGACAGCTACAACACTAACAGGTACGTTTGAGTTGGAGTCGGACTAGAGCTAAGATTCAAGTTACTTTCCTTACTTACCTGACTTTAGCTAAGTTGGATGTTTGTCTGAGAGAAACATTTGAAGCTAAAATAGTTAAAACCAGGGGCAGTTTGTTTCCAATGCCGGTACGGTTGCATTCCTTTACATTGCTTTGACTCGGTATCGACCCTGAACTGTGTAAATAACTAAACTTAGCTAGCGAACGTTACTCTTTGTGAAGAAGTTTCTAACGACTTTTGCCTCGTTTTCTGTGAGAAACTTTGTCGTTTACGCTTTATTAGTCACTTTCTTTCTCAAATATGACAGCAGTCTGGTGTCAAACAGCATTACAACTGTTTTTCAGTGTATTTTGTACCTTGACGACTGTGTGAACTGAACTTGGACTGACGGTCCTGTAGTTGCCTCAGAAACCAGGGACTCCCCTGCGTTTGTAAAGCTAACCGTCAACTGTGAGCGAGGGAAGCATAGCTGGTCTTCTGAAGGGTAGGTTAGCTAGTTAACGCTGGCTAATAGTAAAATGACCCTAGGTTAGCCTTTTGTTTTGTGGCTTGTTTTTATGTTTTAGGTCCCCAACTGAAGTCCACCGTGCTCCCTAACCTCTGTTTAAACACAAACAGAACTACAGGATGCTTTGTGGTCACACGGCTGTGCTTCCTTCACCACCTACCCTCACACGGGTGTGGCCCATTTCAGTTTCCTATTCAGGCCCCATTATCTTTGATGGCTACAGCAACCCGTAAAGGTTTGGGTGTTGTTTGTTCCCCAAACACTCTTTGTGGTCACCGTGTTTCACACAGTGTAGGACTCTGCTGGTCAGGGGTTCAAGGGCCGATACTAATCCCGAGTTTCCTGAAAGATTATCATAACAATCAGACTGAGTATTCAGATTGATCCTCAGCCTAGAGCTTCTGTTTTCTTGCTGGCTTTGTGATGGAACAAGCCTACTGGTGAGACACAGCAGATGTGCCCATCAAAAGTAGGCCATGTAACCTCAATTTAGTGTGTCAGTCAGATGTTGGTTAAATGTGGAGCAGTTCACCCAACTGTGGTAATCCACAGTAAGCCAAGAACCAGGGCTTACAGCGGAGAGGTGATGTAGACTGTCATGGCTTTGGCAGGGTGGTCGTTAAACACACGGGGCACTTCACCCAAGTTGAGTGAAATGCTCTACATACAACCTACGTTTAGTCAGGCAGAGTCACTCAGATATCAGTCAGTTATGGAACAATTCACCCAACAGTGGTGATCCAGAGTAAACCAAGAATTTGGGTTTATGGTTAAGAGGCGATGCAGGCTGCTGTGGTAGTGACAGGATGGCCGTTAAACTCTCTGTACTGCTTGACCGATATGCAGCCGATATGCTGTGTTAGATCATCCCTCAGGCTACCAAGACCTTTCTCAAACTATAACCTAATTATAGAGATGCGAACGCTTTTGTTTAGCTTGTAGATGAGTGCGGTATGAGTCAGAGTGTCTGTTCTGTTTGACTGGTTTCACAAGATGTGTCATCTGCAGAAAGCCCTGAATTAGGCAGTGAACCTAACCAATGTGGCTTCGTAGTTGTTCTGTTCAGGCATTGCAAAGAGCGCGAAAGAAGCTTGTGATGGAAATCTGCTCTTCAGAAACATTGCTGCAGTTTGTTGAAGGGACAGTATTGGTAATATACAATGTTTTGTCTCCTGTCCTCACAACTCAAATAACCAGAATAAATAGGTCACCTCAGCGGAGTTTTTAAGACACATAAGACTGTAGTGGAGTTTCCAAAGATGTCCTTCAAGCCCGTTATGGCCTTGCAGGACTGTGTTGGTCATTGCCTCCTTGGCAGTAGATCATGTAGCCCAGGGGATTATCAGGATAGAGCATTTTGCCCTTTATTTGTGCTGCTGCCTGCTGGTTTTTCAGTATGGAACTCTGTCGTCTGATAGACAGTCATTTGGATTTTTGTATTTACATCACAGCAGAGGTGTGAACTAGTACCATGCTTAATTACACTAGTGAGGCTACCTCTTCGTTTATTTTTAGTGTTTGCTTTTTTAAAAACTTCATCAAAGCCCAAGAAGTACTTACAAATAAGAGGATTAAATGATAACTTGAGTAAATGCTCAAATGTAAAAGTGGATTTGACAGCTGAACAAGTTGGAAGCAGCCACAGGGAAGTGACTTTGTATCAAGGACTGAATGTCTTATTTCTTCCATTTTGCTTTTTTCTTGTTAATATGCACATAGCAAAAAAGCTCTCCAGAGGCAACTCCGGTCCTCTCCGTATACGGGACTACAAGCAGGACTCTTCAGGAGTTCTTGAAACACAAGCTTGTTAAGAGAAGTTACAGTGAGGAAAAGACACAGTTGTGACACAATCCAATTTCTCTAACAAAGGCAGGGCAATAAAATCACTAAAGATCAAACTTGCAGAACACACTTTCCCCACCAAAAGAAAAATGCCAGCAAGCAAATAAAACACACTCACTGGACTCATGGCAATGGACGCCCAAATTCTGTTTTAACCTCATCTAGGGTCAGGCTGTTACAGAGATTAAGGGTGGGCTCTCTCCCCAGACCTGCTGCCAGATCAAACACTGGACACTATCGTAACCTGGAATTCAGTACAGCTTTATTTAAGTTGTTAATTGCTGTGGGAAATGTAGCTTCAGGGACGAGCATATGCCTAAAATAATAAACAAAAAACTAAAACTGACTAATCCAGAAAAGAAAAGCAAACCAAAGGCACTCCTCCCCTACTTTTCCAAATGTTCACGGAGAGTTTCACAGAATCACCTGCACATAATTCACACAAAACAGGGAAAACCCACACAAAATGCCAGCACAAGACACACAAAGGAATATTACACCCGGTGGTCATAACACTAATGACAGTCTTTAGCTGCAGAGATGTCTTTGTTTTTGTGCAATTGTGAGCTATTGTTTGTGATTGAAACTCATGTTGCCTTTGAACCACTGTTGTCTGTCAGCTTGCCTTTGTGTCCACAAGATCTGGCTACAGATTGTCTCTCTGCATTTCATTCTACATGCTGCAGAGCGTCTTAGTGTCTGAATAAAGATAGAAGAGAGCAGGTAGGTAATAATTGTCCTGTAAAACTACTGTTAAATAATCTCTTTATTCAACACTCTCTTAAAAAAAGGTCTGAAGCTGTCACTGGGGCAGTACCCCTTTTCTCACTGGAGAGGTAGACTCATCTTGGTATCTTTAGTCAGGGAACGTAATTGAATTATAAGTTGTACTGATTCTGCACACCTCTCTCGTCTCCAGGCTTTTTATTTTATTGTTCTGTTTTAAAACATTACGCTTTGAAAAGGTATAAATATGTGCTTTTCCACTGGGAAAAATTTTAAGGTGCACAGTCGGACCTTAAAACTACTGTTGTACCTTTGAGGGTACACTTATATTGTTTGTAACGAAAAATGTGCCCGCACAGTACCTTAATTTCTAACTGTGTAGGGGTGCATGATCGGAATTGGCCGGGGTCCGAATCTGCATCTGAGTGCTGTGCTTGCATGTCTGTGCATCTGTTAAGCCAAACCGCCTGCCTGTATCTTTCGTGCGAGTTCATTAATTTAGCCTGCAAAATGTGAGCTTTGAGTAAAGAGCAAAAGAAACTGTAATTGCCTGTAAAGACAATCAGAAACAACCATATAAATTCATGATCAGTGCACCCTTTCTTTAAACAGGTGCTAAATTCAAAGTCACTTAACAGCTGCATGTCAGCTGTGGCTCCCCTCAGACATTTTCACAAGCTCTTTAGTGAAACCTTCAGAGTGTGTGAGCAGAGCAACCAGAACAGCCTTTTGCTTTTCATGACTTGCCAAATTGGCAGCCCTCCTGGTTTAAAATCTAGCTCTGTTATTAATATTTGTATGGCCATCGGAAGTGAGAAAATAAAACTCTTACTACCTGAAATGCTCACAATTCAAAAAAGACGAATAGCTGTATTTCTAAGACACATGAATGAATTTAGTGGTTTTTTTTGTTATGTTAGGCTAACATAAGGTTCTGATTGTGTTTCAGCTGTCGATCACAGGCCTGTATTTTCTCTTTTGGCATGAGGGCATTTGCTTAGCGACAGTTTGATCCAGTTTGATTTGTTTTTTTAAATAAATGATTAAATGCAAATAATTTTTGCACATTGTTCCACTTACCCTAAATGCGTTTGATCAGTCACGGCATGTTTAGTGGTCAAAGTGTGCGTCTTTAGCTTTGTGCTAGATAAGCCCGCCAACATCTTCAAATTTTAGCTGATGATTAAAAGCCATATAAATATTTGCGCTTAACAATTTGTGTTTATTTGAAAAACAGTTAAATTATATTAAAGTACAAGCCTAAAGCAGCTACTTTGGCTGATTTAGCTATTTTAATTAACAAGGTCTCAATCACTTCAAACTGATAACAGAAACAGCTCAAATAAACAGACCTCACTCACTCTCACTCTGTTTGTTACAACATAAACATATGGTTGTGAATGTTAACAGTTGTGGAAAATAATCGTTGTCTGCTTAAATAATTGGGATCAGAAGATGATGCAATGACTGTGACAGGCCTAGAACTTGAGCTACATGGTTAATGTAGTTAAAAAATAATGGGAGCTTGGCAGTTCACTATGTAGCAAACGCTATGCAGTAAATAGTAAATGACCTAGATGAGAGAGCCATCCGAACGCAGCAAGAGACTTCTGTTATATTAAGCTCATAACCCATGTGCAAAACTAAAGAAATAAACTAACACAACAAATATGTCCTGACTGTTGAAACACGTTTGGGGCAAGAGGAACATTGAGTAAAATAGATTTTTTTGGCAAACTCCATGTAATTATTGAAGTATTATCAGGAAAGGTTTTT